AGAGCAGCCTCCAGAAGATGGTGTGGGGCCTGGAAGTTACAGCTCAGTCCGTTATAGTGAATATGAATGCTGTGAAAGAATTGTGATCAACGTATCTGGCCTACGATTTGAAACCCAAATGAAGACTTTGGCTCAATTCCCAGAAACATTGCTAGGTGACCCAGCAAAACGGGGCAGGTACTTTGACCCCCTCCGGAACGAATATTTCTTTGACAGGAACAGGCCCAGCTTTGATGCCATTTTATATTACTATCAGTCAGGTGGACGCCTGAAAAGGCCAGTCAACGTGCCGTTTGACATTTTCAGTGAGGAAGTGAAATTCTATGAACTTGGGGAAGAAGCTATGCTCAAGTTTAGAGAAGATGAAGGCTTTGTCAAGGAAGAAGATGACAGGGTCTTGCCTGAAAATGAATTCAAAAAACAAGTGTGGCTGCTCTTTGAGTACCCAGAGAGCTCCAGCCCAGCCCGAATTATTGCCATAGTCTCTGTGTTGGTCATCTTGATCTCCATTGTCATTTTCTGCTTAGAAACTTTGCCAGAATTTAGAGATGAAAAAGAGCTCATTTTGACCCAGAACTTGGAGAATGTCAATGAAACCCTTCAGCTGCAAGGTGGAGGGCTTACAGTTTTCAACGATCCCTTCTTCATCGTTGAGACTGTCTGCATCATTTGGTTCTCCTTTGAGTTTACAGTGCGCTTCTTTGCTTGCCCTAGCAAAGCGGTTTTCTTCAAGAACATTATGAACATCATAGACATTGTTTCCATTTTGCCTTACTTCATCACCCTGGGTACAGATTTGGCCCAACAACAGGGCAGTAATGGTCAACAGGCCATGTCTTTTGCCATCCTAAGGATCATCCGTCTTGTCCGGGTGTTCCGAATCTTCAAGCTTTCCAGACACTCCAAGGGTTTGCAGATCTTGGGTCACACTCTCAGGGCCAGCATGAGGGAACTGGGGCTCTTGATCTTCTTCCTTTTCATTGGAGTAATTTTGTTTTCCAGTGCTGTTTATTTTGCAGAAGCAGATGAATCTACCACCCATTTCCAGAGCATCCCAGATGCCTTCTGGTGGGCTGTGGTGACCATGACTACGGTTGGTTATGGGGACATGAAACCCATAACTGTAGGCGGGAAGATTGTTGGGTCCCTGTGTGCCATTGCAGGTGTGCTGACCATTGCATTACCAGTGCCAGTGATTGTCTCCAACTTTAACTATTTTTACCACAGAGAAACTGATAATGAGGAACAGACCCAGTTGACACAAAATGCAGTCAGTTGCCCTTATCTCCCAACAATACTCAAGAAATTCCGAAGTTCATCATCTTCTTCCACCGAGGTCAAATCAGAGTATCTAGAGATGGAGGAAGGGGTTAAGGAATCTCTTTGTATAAAGGAGAAAAAGGGCCAGGTTACAGGAAATGGGAAAGATACCACAAAGCAGAACTGTACAAATGCAAAATCTGTGGAAACGGATGTTTAGCTTTGTGCATTTCCAATGAATTTATGCATAAAAATGTGCAATGGTTAAAAAAAATGAAATATGCAAACAGGTGTTTAAACAAGCAGATAGGAAAATGCCACTTGCTGGTTAAACATAAACAAAGCATTAGTAAACTTGTGTTACATATCAAGTAAATGATATACCTTGTGAAGGGGGATTTACATGAAGTTGTTTCAAAGATTATATTTTTACTAGAATGCAGGTGTTTTGCACATGAGGGAGAACAATTTTATTTTTAAGGAGGTTGTGTTTATCTGCCTCACTTGCTGCCCACTGGTAAAAGTTAGCATTTCAAGGTATTTACTATGTAAGAAACAATGACATTCAGTAGCCATGTATTCATTTGTTAATGCTTTAAAAACAGCTACCATAATCCAGTGGATTCCATAGTCTTGATTTTTAAAATGCTAAGAATTTTGTGGGGAGATTTATTCTATGAAAAGTCCAAATTTAACCTTAATTTGCTTAAAGATGGTTTGATTTTTTAAAAAAATGGATATTCAATTGTTGAAGATGCTATCGAGCCCCAGAAATGGTTTATTTTTATAACGGTCTTTTGAGACTTTGAAGCAATTGTTAAGTAATATGTGGATGAATCAAGTAAGAAAATCATTTAACATGTTCTGGATGCAGTGAAAAAGTGACTGGATTGCTTTTTTGCACTACTTTATATGCTGGAGAATTTATGACAGACTTCATACTGTGAATGTTTACTAATGTTCAATGACAATCATTGGAAGAGTGAATCCCACGTCTTTATTTTCTTGTATTATTCTTTGTGTAATGCTGTTTGGCTAAGCGGCTAACTTTACATGAATTCCATGAGTCTTTTAATTATGAATATCTGTTATCTGGAAAAAAAAAGGATTGTGAAGTAAAATTTTATAATCATTTCTCCTCCTAAATAAGTCTTTTTCAAATCTTCAACCTACCAATCAACCAATCACCCCTACAAACAAACCATTTGTCTGAGGGATACAGTAGAAACATCTGTTCATAATAGGCAATGTCTGTGTGTATCTGTGTGCCATTTGGATTGGATGAACAGGGTATATAATCAAACATAACAGTAGCCATAGATAATGCAAAGTATTCAATGCAGAAACAATTTCACATGACCAATGGCATGAGAATATAAATAATGTGCTTTATGTTATTTATACATATGAATACTGGTTAAATATTTCTGGGTAATGGAAAAGAGGAACGCATTGTTAAACCAGTACAATAATGGGTTTATCTAACTTGCAAATATGCTAGTTTGGGATTTTCTAATGGAAGCCTGCATAGTTCAATGTGTTGAAATAGACTGTGAGACACAAAAATGTTGGTTTTGCAAATGACATAATTAAAACGTGGTCATTAAACAAATTATGTAGGTATTCATCTGGTATTACATTTGGATCAGTGCCATGGCTTTTTTTGTACCAGATTCTTATAAACTGCAGGAGCTATCTATCTATCCAAAATAGATAGATTTGATGTTCCAGCATGATTTTAAAAAAGTGTTTTTAAACATACTTGCTTCTGTAGGCAGTTGTTAATTCAGAATAAATGATATGAACAACATGAGCCTGGTGAAAGCATTGCAAAATTCGGAATTATGCAAATAACTTTTTACTAATAAAACAACACTGAGGTCTGGACAGATCATAGTGAGAAGATAAGTTTCCTTATAAATCACTTGAATAGAACAAAACAGAAATGTGTGGTTTGGACAAATGTTTTACAATATGATGTCTAGACTTTCCAGCTACAGTGGGAAGAAAGCTGGAACTTGTAGTTCAATCAGGTTAGAAAAATATGGTTTGGACAAGAAAGTATTCTAAACTGAAAATAAAATAAAGTTTCATTGTATTAGAGAGAGAGAAAAAGTCAAGACAATTATTTTCCATTATTTTTTAAAAACAATGTGTAGAAGGTTGATCAGATTCATCCATTATTTTGAATAAGAATAGGATGTAATGTTTCATTTTTCAACAGAATTATAGCTGCTAAGTGATGTTGGAATATGTTTTTCTTTTTTGAAGAAAGCTGTAGGAGAGCTCAGCATCTTTTGACAATGTCTTGGTAATCCTTTCTCTTTTTTTTCTGAAATGTTTCTTCAGCTTCACAGTATAAACTATAATATTTAGATATCCTGGTATTTTCCCATTAAAACTAATTGTCACAGTTCAGCTGTTCAAAGTGACTGTAGCTTTATAAAAATTTCTTACATCATCCTACTTTGATAATTTGCTTGAAGCTAATGCGTTGTGATTAATGATGGGATTTAAATGCCCACAAAACTCTATATCTATTTAAATTTAAATTCTGGAATGTGAAAACTTTTCGTCAAAGTGTAGAATTTCAGTTTTAAAGAAATGTTTATAGTTTTTGACTGAGACTAGTTGTGGGATTTCAAAATTTTATTCCATATTATTCTCTATCAAACAATAGTACACATGATAACTAGTCACCATCAATTTATCATCTTAAAGTTTTGACAAATGCTATACCTTTTTATGTCAACAATTGCCAGAAACCTCCTATAGCTAATGCACTGTTTAATACTGTTAACAAATGAAATACTGTCTGTCCACTAGCCAGTATTAACTGCTGAACTCAAATAACATTGAACATTGAGTAGAGCTGTAAAATTAGTAATATTTAGAAAAGAATACCCATGTAATATTTTACATCAAGTTCACAGATAACTGTGAAAAGAAAATGTTGGGAACAGAATGCAAGCAAAATGTGCTTTCAGAAGGGAAACTGCTTGTCCTTATTTTAGCCTAATTGTTTTTAGCAAAATGTCTCATCCTGTTTTGGAGATGTAAGTAAGAAAGCTGGAGAACAGATGCCCTCCCCCTCAATCTACTCACTGCTCCAGCCTTTTGAGTAGGAGGTGGCACATGCCAAAGATTTAATGTAGTAATTTAGCATATAATATGCAGTTAGCAATTACCTAACAATTTTACATTGAGTAGTTTCACTCCTTTTTGCATTATGTTAAGAATTTTGATCTGCCTGGCAGGTTTTGGGGACAATATCACAACTTCTCTGGGCAATATTAAAAAAATAGGAGGCAAGTTGGTTTGTATTATTCCTAAATCACAATGCTGACGGTGCTTTTAGGAAGCATCTCTGCAGCTAGCGTAAGCTATAGATTAGCTAATGAATTATCTTTTCAAGGTAACATAAGTCAAATGTTAGAAGCAAAAAAATCTGACAGTCAACAAGGTAAGTCTCAGACATCTTTTGTTGATTTTTTTAAAGCATAGCTTTAGCGTTTCAGGGTTCGTAAAGTTTCTGAAAACGGTAGGAAGCAAAGTTACTTTTGATTCTCATGTTTCATTTACAGATATTATTTGGACCTGATATTTCCTCCAAGAGTTTAAATATGTATGCATATGCATCCATGGGAGGGTCAAGTAATCAAATGAGTAAAATGATAAAAACTCCACTCCTTATATACTTGTGTATGCAAGTACTAAAGGGAAGAGCTTGTATAGTGTGATGTGTTTTGCTATTTTGGCATCTTGTGGTTAGGAACGGATGCCTATGCATATGACAGCATCTCACTGAATTTTTACAAAAGCTCTGAAAAATGCTGTTATAAAGATAGTGATCAATCTAAGTGATCAACAATAAGCATACAGTAACTGTTATTCTGCTTTATACTGATTCCAGAATAGAGCAATTTTCCACTTATCCTAAACTAGAAATGATAGGCATCATTCTGAGCATTATTGAACAGAACAAGAGATTCAAGGATTGGTTTTCTAACAGTTTTCAAAGACTGAATTCCAAAATTATCCCTAGACTATTCTATACTGCTTTATTCCAAGTTTCCATTGCCTGATACCAGGTCCTTGTTTAGGATAATTTCTTGAATTTCAGAATTAACATTGCCTGTCAAAAATGGCTGCCGGGGGTAAGCATAATATGGATACAATATGATCTTCAGCAGATTACTTTGCCAAATTCTCTGAAATATCTTACTATAAGGTATTGTCCTACTTGTGCCTGAATACAAGCAGCAATACAAGAAGTTTTAGTTGGGAGGAATAGTAGAGATTTGAGTACAACAGCAATACTGTGAAACATTGAAAGTGGTTGGTAAAGACAGACCATTTTGGGGAATTGCCTGAAGATAATAGCATGAAGGATGTTGTTCTAAACAGTGTAATGTGCATGTAGAGAGAAACAGAAAGAAATCTTCTAAATGCTATGGATTAGAGAATAAGTTTAAAGCTTTGCACAATGTTTGAAATAACATCTATGAAGATATTAACAGTGCATAAAAATAATATTTATTTACTTGGCACAGAGAAAAAGCAGCCCCAACCCCCCCCCCAACAAACAATGCCCAAAATCATGAATTCCATATTCTTTATAGGATAACAGTAATGAAAATGTTGGTAGCTGGAAATTAGAAATAAAAATAAATTGCTTAGTTTTACTCACTATTTTTAATTACAAGTTCATTGCAGAGAAAAGTAAGGAAAGCATTCTGTATTTACTTGCTTGCATTAACTATTATTTTTAACTCTTTTCTTCTAAAATTAGAATATACCCTGAGGGGTTTTTTTCTACAGAGACTTCGCTAGAAATTGCTTCCTAACAATTACAGAAATTGAAATCTGTCGAGTTTCTGTTCAAAATCTGGTAAAGCATTCTGGTTGAGGAAATGTAGGTAAGTAGAATATTGGTTTTGTTGCTTTGCTTGTTAGATGTATGCTCACAGTTTTCAGTAAACAGAGGCACCCTTTACAATTTTGGGTGATGGCACTACAGCATTTTAGAGAAGCTTTCTTATATTAGAAGTCACTTTTTAATTTTGACTATAGTAGGGGTAGAGAAAGGAACAAGGAGGAAAAGGGGAAAAATAATTTATCCAGGGTGCAACAGTTCAAAGCCACAGTGATTTTCACTGAAATCCAAGTAAAATGGATGAGAGGGCAATGTTAAAATCATAAGTTTTATTTATTTTTGCTGCATTTCTGTATGGATGGAGGATGAATGCACAATGGTACAATCTTATTTCTTTTTCCTCAAAAGTAAGCCCTACTGAAAAAGTATTATTCCTGTTTTTCTGAGGATCTAGTGCAGATAAGTTCCATGGAATCCTTTTCTGAACAGAAAGATTGAGATTTTGTGAAACATACTATTCTTGATAGAAAAGTCCACTGGAACAAAGTTTCAGGGGAAGTTCCAATACATTAAAGCGCTATTTAAATTCTCCAATAATTCCAATAACTCTATCTTTTCCAACCCTCCAGATTGCCCTCCCCTATCCTATTATTTATTCTAGCTCCTTGCACTGGCCTTTGTAGAAAAAGTTTAGAATTGCAACCTAAATATTTTACTTTTAGTTGCATTGTGCCTATAGATTTTGATGTTTCTTTTCTTCCCTTCTCATTATGGTTTTATATATTATAGAAACAGGATTGCTGGGTTGTCAAATTTTAATTTTTATCTATATTACAAGGGCTTTGTCTTGTTTTATTTGCAAAATGAGCCGTAACCATGATGCAAATGTAGGAATTCTCCATATGCCATTAGGTGGCTTGTAACAATACCTAATTTGCAAATAGTTAAATATAATTTCCTGATTTTGTTGTTTTTTTTTCCATAACAATGCAGCTTCTAATGAAATCAGAATATCAATCAATCAGTAACAATTGTCCATCAATACAGAGAAGCAAAAGTTAATGAAACGTGCAATGGACAAGTGATTTAAACCAAAGGTACTTTTCATTTTCCTGATCAAATGAAATGATGTACTTGTTTGAAGTTCTAGAAAGATGGTGTCATTTGTAAATGTGCATGTACAGATGAAAACACAAATCCTACAAATGATTTTCCGCTAGAATTAGGGCTTGATTTTATACTTGTCACAGTTTTCATTCTGACTGGGACTACTTATTTCTTACTGAAAGCAAAAGGAACTCAAGATGCTAAAAATGCAGATACTAGCCTATCTGAACTTTGAAGAGTGCTATAGCAATTCTGCATAAAAAGGCAGATACAGACTGGGGATTAAAAATGCCAAAGAATATTATCTTGTTTGATGGTTCCCTATTCCCCCCCCCCCCCGTTCTTTGAACTTATGAAATGTGAGATGCAAATATCTGTAGTTATAAAAATATGTAGTGTAAACTGAATTGATGAAAGTGTCTGGTTATATAATTAAAGACTATGGTTTGCCTTAGTTTATTATGAGCTGAATTGCAAGACAAATATTATTCTGTCAATAGACCTTCCTCATTTCAAAAATTTGTATTTTAGGCATTATGTAGCAACTGAGGATTTAAGGTGGCATCCATTTATTTTTGTTGATTATTTCTAGACATTATTACAATTAAGTATACACTTGTGGGACAAGGCTAAAAATTAAAAGCCACAACATTACAATATAATAGAGGCTGTTCATCTTTTAAAGCTTAGACGCAGCAGTTTGCATACACAAACAAGATTTTGTATGAAGAACAACTATTTTCTTCATCTAAAGCTCTCTATACTGTAGAGATTTTCTTGAGGAAATATAACACTGTCCAACTAATATTTTAGTGCTTGTGTTTATGAAAATATTTTTTTACTTCTCCATCTACCACCTCTCTGGAATGCATTTTTTTTCCTTTTCAATTCATTCAGTGTTAGGTTGCACGAAAGAAAAAAGATTGGAGATGAGAGAATGTGACAAGCAGCACCACAATTATTTATTATAACATTGTGTTTTTACATTAATTTTCTGCCTGTATCTGAAGAAATAGATTCTGGTCCACTAAAGTTCTTTCCACAAATGCCTTTGCAATCCATCTCTACAATTCCACAGTAATCAATTTTGCTGCAACTAGTTTCTAATGACTGCCCTTCTTCCTTCTCATTTAATTTTTATCAATTTTTCTTTAGAATAGCTTACATTCAACATTATAATTATTACAAGAATGCTACTGAAATTGCCTTTACAGAACTGCAGATCATTTCAGCAGCTATACTATCTAGTTCTCCTGAATCATTTTGATGTCAGTGCCAGCCATTTAATGGTTGTGTGAAAATTTTCCATAATTGGTATGAGTGTGCTTAAACATTACAGCTGTTGCTGGCTTTAGCTGCCAGAAATGGTTGTGGAGAAGTACTGAAATAGTGAAGACAGGAAATCAAGCAAAGAGTAAAAATCATGTTATGGTGGTAGATTCAGGAGGAAATTAAAATGGATGAATGTGAACATAAGGCAGTTTCCATAAATAAAGTGCAATAAATTAGTCATAGGTAATATAATGACCTCAATAAATTCAAGACCATAACTCTCATAGTCCCTTGCTTTTGGTCATGTTGATTAGAATTGATGAAGTTCAGTGTTGTTGAAGGACACTCTCTACAGAAGATGGATTGCCTTTAAGTTAGGAACCATAGACAATGTATCATCAGAACGGCTTTTGAAATTATTACTGCATTCCATGAATTGGCTTACCCTACCTTCAGTGACTGAAAATCTTCAGTGAAAAGTGAAAAGAAGCTAGATGGAGCCCTTTCTAAAAATTTTTTTTTGAAATGTCAGTGTAGGAATTGAAATATTTGAGACAAATATATGAAACGATGAAGAAATTAGCTCATCTTTGCTTAACTATTCAGAACTGCCTTGATAAACACCTTTCTTTCGGCCAATTTTAATATTTTTAAAAATATTTTTCTGCACCCTTTTGTCCTTTTTTGCAAGCGTGTTTGTGTCAAGACTTATGTAATTGTGAAAGTTCCTGATGATTTGTTGCAATTTGGAGCAGTGTAATAATGTGCCACAAGGCAAAACGGGAGGTTCTGTTGCCTAGAGATGAATTATCATGATTCACAAATGCTACAATTTGTACTTGGAAACTTTGCAAATAATGAATGACAAAAGCTTGGAAATGTTGGTTATGAATGATGTCTTTAGCATTTCATTCAATTTATCAGGGTCCAGTTATCTCTTTGCCGACTTAATCCTGCACAATATTTGCACTTGTGAAAATATGTTTTCTCCCTTCCCAGTCTTCTATATGCATCTAACAGAGGATGTTACTACTTTGGAGAGATCACGCTATAGTAAATTTGTTGTGTTGCCTTAACTAATCATGTTTGCTGTACTCAGAAGAGAATCTAGTTGATTGCAGTGGTAGTTTTGATTCAAGTGCTTTGCATCGAATACTTTGATTCAAGTAGTTTTGCTCAGTATTGCCACATTATAGTTGATAAATATAATTAGCATCTCCAGTGGAAGCATGTTTATTGTTTTGTTTAAACATACCATCATCTCTCCCAGGCAAAATTAAGAAGAGCCCATTTTGTCTCTTGGCAGCAAAAGCTGGTTTTACACAGTTCTTGATTGAATGACTTTATCATCTCCTATATTCTCCATTAGTTCAAACTGAATGAATTCTCCGTTTTAAAGTAGATAAATGGATGATTAATTTAATAAGCAAATTCTAAATAAAAACGCAGACTGCCCACTGATATAATCCAATCCAATAATCAAACTGAATCAACATTTGATTTGTTGACTGACTCAACTATTATTTACACCGAGGACATAAGAGGAGCTTGGAACTTAATAAAGAAAATGTACTAGAGACTTTGGCTTTTTATGTGTGTTTATGTGTCTTTGTGTGTGCACACTTATTTTTAGCATTAGTATTTTGAGTGCATGTAGTATACAGCTAGTAGTGGATGATCCGGAGTTGTGTGGTAATTAATGATAGGATTATGCACGTCAAAGGCTGCAATTCAGGCTCTTCTAACTAGTGGCATCTAGGGTTTTTTGACTTGCAAAATATCCAACCATCATGGTGATTGTTGTTAGCAGGCACATTGGTAGTATTTTTTTTTATTTTTTTTAAAATTTGATTTATATGGATTTAATAGTATTAATATCCTGTTCAGCATATGTGCAGTTCTATATACACCAGGAGTGTCAAACTCACGTCATCATGGTGGCGTCTTGTGACGTATCGGGACTTCCCCCCCCCCTTCGTTAAACTGGGTGTGGGTGTGGCCAGCACATGACGCATCCGGCCCATGGGCCGGGAGTTTAACAGCCCTGATATACATTATTAATGAACAGGAGTTCAGAGATAGAATCCTTCTCTTTTCTTTTGACTGAGATTTTCCTTGTAGGAAAAAAAAATGGAATGCTGTGATAAGCAAAGAAATATAGAATTGCTTACTTTAAGTGGCAGCAACTCTCTGTTTTGGAAAAAGGTTTTGCTTTTATCTATGGAGATCAGATTCTGAATTCAGAACTCCTTCAGAGCTGGTGTCCTGCCTTTTAGCAGTGTTGCTAGCCCATCACCATAGAAATAATTGCTCATCGTGTTAGGCTTCTGTAACCGAACGCTCACTAGCCATATTCTGTTAGCTGGCAGCGTTATTCCAGCATAGCTAAATATATTCTTTGACTATTGGATCTTTGTCAACATTTAACCAAAAAAAAAAAAAGAGAGAGAGACACCAGATCTGATAGTCTATTGTATCTTTTATTCTTTCATTAACTAGATTTATTCCTAGCACTAGTTATAAATAACAATAACCATGTGAAATGTTCCATTATTTGGGTTCTGTTTTGTTTTTCTATCCAAAAAGGATGCTTCAAATCCTAACAAGAAAAAAAAAACAAAAACAAAATACAGGAATATATTTAAAATCATACCTGAAAGGAAATACAAAATAAAGGGTTGCAAAATGTTCTAAGCTGGAAAATATCTGAACTAAAGTGATTGTTTGAATTGTTCCACATCCAAAACAAAAGAAGGCATTTTATTGTTTTCCATGTTGTTTTGTATATTCTACCATATCGCAGACATTTTTTAAAAAAATCGTTGAGACATGGAGAGTTCATAGTCAATAAAATAGGTAACACAGGGTCTTTCTCTCTCTCTCTCCCCCTCCCTTTCTCTCTCTCCCTCCCTCCCTCCCCCCCCCCCCCCCATGAAATTAGCTGAATGAAAGGTAAAGCTGTGGGAGATTTAGTTAAGCACTTCACCAGGGACTGGCAGTAGTTTTAGGCATGAAAAAGACTGATGCCTAGCTGATGGATTGGTGTAGGTCTGCTTAAAAATTCCTTATGATGGGAATGTGATAGAATTTTCTGAGTGTAGGAACAGAAATGGATAATTTCAAAACATTGCAGAGTGAAAACAGATTGACATTTTTGTGGTATGAAATAAGTATTTAGCACATTCTACATTACATCAGCAAGCTGTTAGAAAAAGGAACAAAGGCAACAAGGAAACCTCACCTGAACATAGTCCCTGATTAATGAGAACGAAGGTTTTAGTTTCTAAGATTCGGTAGCTGAACCCTTTCTCACTTGCAGGAAATCTGATTACTCAGAATCTATGTTTGAATCTTTTTTTTTTTTTTTCAACTGCTTTAAACAGCTTGACAAGAGAAATTAGTTTACAGGTTACAATGCAATGTTTTCCCTGTGTGATCTCAATATAGAAACCATTCTTTTTTCAGACACTTTGCCAAATGTGGTGGAACTATTTTTTTTAAAAAATGACTAGAGAAGAATATTTTTGGTCTGTGTTGAAATGAAAGGACACTATTTTTGGGATGAATCTGGTAGCTGTTTCTACAGGCAGATCAGAATTGGTTTTAAAACCTGCTTAACTGTGGCATGTATTGTTTTCTTTAGCAATTTGAAAATGAAAATAATGCCCTGGCCAATTTTTCTATGCGTGGTGATAGGTACTATGGACTCTACTCCACCAAATATTGTTACTCTGGAATGGCAAACACAGGAGCAAGGGGTTCCTGTATGATCTGTTGTGCTCCAAACTTGGATAGATGCATGGGGAGACATATAGACATACATAACCTACACAAACTCTCACACCCATACCCAGGATGTATTAAAAGTCAGGCCTAATAGATCAATCACAATATGTTTATTAATTACCTTTTTTCAGAGAGAATGTTACTATATTTAGAAATGTTCAAGTAAGGAATTGTTAAAATGGCACCCAATTGAAATATTTAATTGAATTTATATCATAAATTATCTATGAAGCCTGGCTTTAGGTACACTCTGTATAAACACAGACACACACTTTATATCAGGAATTCCCAATCAGTCAGTCAACACTTTCTCCCTAAAAATGAATATATGGTTCTATGTCATCCAAGGACATTTGGGAATAAATATAATTTTGAAAGCTGGTGTTTCGCTTTTCA